ACTTTCAAGTTTTCAAACGCATTATTCCACCTGGCTTACATTTTGCTCAAAGAAATAGGTTCTGGTGTCTCCGGATGGGGAGAAGCCTGTTCAGCAGCGGCTAACCAGGCTGTGACCTGCGAAGCAGCGCTCCCCCACCGCTCCATGGCGACAGTACAAAAGGGTGCGTGGGAAGCGAGAGGAGGCGTGTGGCTGATGAATCCATGCCAGTGCTGTTCCACTGGCAAAACCCCCTCTCGGGGAAGGGAAGCTGCTGCTGCTGCTGCTGAAGGCTGCAGCTGTGTGCATGCAGTACTTATGCAACCGGGGAAAGGAGGGGGGGGGGTGGTTTTATCACCAACACATGATACCTGTGCTAAGCACCCTCCTTGTCCCTCAGGGCAGTGAACAGAATTAAGCTCCGAGAACAGAATCTGTTAACACGAATGGAGAGAAATAATCAGTTTATTTGCTACCAGGCAACTTGGAGGCACCACAGTTTTCCCACTGCGTTTTTAAGGCCCTGTTGCCATAGTAGGTGGAAGAGTTCAGAACAGTGAGCTGCTGCTCATGGAAGGACCTGGCTCTGAGGAGCCACGGAGCAGAGGTTCAAGAAAGGACACAAAGGCAATTACAGAAGGTGCAGGGAAACGAAGTAACTTTTCTTTTAGCCCAGTGTTTGCAGTTTCTGCTTTGACACCAAGGGAATGAATGCCAAGAAAAGGAATTCCATCTGCCCTCAAAGCAATGTGATTTTAAAAAGATCAGACTGTGCTCTCGATATATGGCGACAGTGTTCGAGAAACCAAGGCCTAGCTCCATGTAAAAACAGTCGTGGATTAGACCTACCTCCTGAATGTCACTACGTCTTTAGGTATCGCTCTTTTGACTCACCTGCTCTGTAGTTTTCTAGTTAATTGCAATGCCTGGCATACTATGGGGCCCTTTTACAGCCCTGGGAAGTCAAAGTTAACAAACTTAGATCTTCCGAGTACTTACACAAGCAGCCCATTTGCAAAAGAATTACACGATGCTACATTTAATTGCAGTTATTCTTACTGACATGCATTCTTACAGACTGTGGTGGCTTCTAGAGCCCAGGATAAAAGCTCTTGTCTATTCAATGCTCATTAAAACGTTGAATCTTTAATAGGAGCAGGATGGGATCATTACTATAGAACGATGTAAAAATGTACAGAGCTTCGATTCTGGGCATATTCCATTTTGTATCACTGGAAGTAAATCTGTTCTGCAAACACAGAATGAATATGCCTTTATATTTGTGCCAACACGCACCCTGGCCTCTCCGTTAGCAGCAGTAAACTGCCACAAACACAGGGGCTTGTAATGTAAGGACAAAAACCTCCTGGGCCTCATTGGTGGGGAACTACATTAACAATTATCAGCTCCCAGTCTGCGTTCTCCTGGCCTGATGCAGTGACATACATTTGCCTTTGTCTTATAGCAAATGATAGGGCACGCTAATAGCTATTTAATAGTTGAGCAATTATTTAAATTCAGGTTAACCCTAATTACATTTCCTATTAAATCCTGGGAGTGATTCCAACACCTCCAATGGAAAGAATCACATGGAGACGCTTACATACAAAGGAGGGTCTCTAAAGCTTTTCTCAGGTGGGTTCCTAGAGAAGAGCCAGGGAAGCTGCGGCTTTTGAGTTCTTGCCTCTTTTCCCAGTAAGCTGAAGCATCAGGATAGAAAACTGTGCTAAAGCAAAGAGACTTAGCTTTGCTGATCCTCTTTGGGCTGATAGCTATTATCTCTCCAATGGTATGGGGAAGCAAACAGACCCAGAGGACCTCTCTGGAATAATCTTTTCACAGGTGAGGGGGATTTGCTCTTCAGACTCCCGTGCTTAGCTCTGTTCAGCAAAGAGGAAACCAGAGCACAGAAGTTGAATCAAATTACCCCTGTGTCCCCCCAAAAGATTAACTAATTCCCTCACAACTTGTGGATTGTAAATCCTGGTTCTTCGTTACCCTCCAGTTAGTTTATTACTGATGGACAGTTACTGAAACACAGGTGGCACATCCCTATAATGTAAGTGAAGGTTTTATTTGGGAAGCCTTGAGGCAGTGAAACCAGAAATGAGGCCATTGTTCGTTCTCACTGTTGGCTGGTTTAATTTAGCTTTAATCTTGTGATTAATTTTAATACTATAAGAAATTAATTATATTTGTGTTCTAATGATCAGTATTAACCTAATTAGTGACCATAAAAATTCCCAAGCAAAGCACTTAATCGCATTAGAATTGAGATTGTAAATATTTTCCTAATGGAAAGCTGCCAGTAAAACGCTGGTGCTCTCAAAGGCTACAGCCACAATAAAACACGCAGCATTTATAACATGACTTCCATCATGAACGTCTTAGTGCTAACTCTGCTACACAAGTTGATGGTGTCTGTAATGTGTCAGAAACGTTTCCATACACCACAAGTAAGCTGTGCAATACTTAAAATGGATGCTCTTAAGCTTCGCTTCACCAGGTACAGCCAAAACCCTTGTCAAGAAGCTCCAATTCCCAGGCAGAAGTGGTGCCCTGTCCTTATCCCCATGGCCACTGAAAACGGTTCTGGAGGCAGGAACAAAGCCTTCCCTCAACCTAACTTGTCCATCCTGTGCATCATTTTCCTGCTGTTAGCGCCTGGGTGTCCACTTCCAGCCCCGCTCCCATTCACCCCTCTCATTTCCCCTCTTCATGTTTTATTTAGGCACAACAAGTAGCTCCGAAAGGAAAACACAAGCCGGAGAAGCCCATTCCATGGGTAGCACAGAGAATGCCTCTGCCAGGGCACAAGACAACTGCTCTTGCAAATAAAAGGAGGATCCCCCCAAAAGCAGCATTGCTTTCTGTCTTCCAGGAGGCATACAGCCTCCTGAGCTATGCACAGGTCTATGGCAAAGAGCCTGCATACACAGTGCCCACACAAAACATCTTAAGCCCACTTCTATTTCGTTGTTAAAAAAGATAGGCCCTGCCATGTTATTCTACACAGCCTGTCTTGTAATTAAATTGCACCAAATAACCAAAAGAATCCCTACAGTTCCCCCAGGATAATGTAGTTATTCACCCCTGAATCTGACCCTCCTTTACACTCTGGTATGAAAGGCTTTCTTTTACATTACTTGTTGCAAGCACGGTCCTGGATTTAAGCCACTTTTTAATACAGGGAACATAGGTGTCAACGTGATCCCCAGAGGCCACTGATCATTCCCAGGGGCTGGGATGATTGCAATTGGAGTATTTATTTAAGATAAAGCCTTTGTATTGAATTAGAAATTGATCTTCCACTTGAGCAGACAGCATTGCTTTATGTACTTATATACAGGTCTCTTTGGAAAGCTCTTTTGTCTGTGTGCTGCTCAGAGTGATTGAGTCTTCCCCAGACACGTGGAAATAAGACTTGGAAATGGAATTCCCAGCTTTTGTGGGGCTTGGGGTGAAAGGTACCAATTCTCTTGTCACCTCTTGGCTAAACACTTTAGCTCAGTTACCAACCGTATGCAAAGGGTGCCAGAAATGTATTGAGTCACTATTATACCTTATCAATTACGTACTGCCTCCAAACACCATGCAGCTCATGAGGTCTAAAACACAAACCAGAAAACCAGAGGATGCGTTCCTGCAGAGCTGCATCATATCCTTTATGCACAAGATAAGGATTTTTCGCTCTAAATTCCTCTCTTTCCTTGCAACTTTCCCCCCTTTTATCTTATCCTGGAGTTCTTAATCCAAGTTACGTATTAAAAGCAGAGAGAGAACTGATCAATAAAAGAATTGGTGGAGGGGAGATCCTGAGGAGATCCTGCTGGCTCCAATAAACTGCTGGTTTATCCTATGAAAGAACCGGTGACTAAAGACACTTAGTTTCCTGTTTCTTTACATCTATATCAGCATTTGTGCCTGAGCTCTCCTCCCAGGTAATAAAACCACCAGTGTTACTGAAGGTGTTTGTATATGTGGAGGCATTAATGGATGGCTGTGCTCCAGCACATGCCATGGGCTGTTTATTATGCTGTCTTTCACTCCAGTACCTTGTGACAGCTTATCATTGAGGATAACATTAATGACAGAACGTTCCCAGGCTGAAAAGATCCTCAGTAAATACTTTGCAGAGAGCAAAACATAAACAAGTCTTAACATAATAACCCAGTATTGATTTGGGGGAACAATTGTCTTAAAAACCTGGATCAGTTTGCAATATCCCAAAGTATCCTGCAAATATACCGAATTCCAAAGACTTGTATCACACTAACCTGTCCATACATGGAGGTTTTTTCCGTCACCTTTAGGTGCTAACGGTTGAAATCCATGCTCTTGGAATCAGCCCACTCTGAGATGGGAAGCCTGGTTGTTTTCAAACATGCAGAACACAGGAAGCTGCAGGTGTTCTGGAGGGGATGCGTTCATGCAGGAGCCGTGTTTGCTCTTCTGGCTGTTTGAAAATCAAGAGGATTGGTCATTAACAATTGTTATAACTCATTACCATGATGAGAACTAAACCAAGGCCAACTTGTTTGATCGATGGGGATTTATTAACTGAAAGCTTTTACTGCTATCTATCTACTTCATTTTGAAGCTGCTGCCATGAAATAAGTACAGTATATGATTGACCTACAATTTCACTTCACATGGTGCCAAGCCCTAAAACCTCAGTGGGTCTCCTTCAACCACATTCTGCAAGTACAAACAGCAGTTTGGCACCAGCACAGCGTTTGTATCAAGCTCAAACGCACAGGGTCTAAAAACCCCACATGAATCCTCAGACCCCTGTAGGAAAAGGGTTTCATGTTTGCAGACAATAAATGTACAACACTGAGTAGGACTGCATTGATGGTATCACTAATAATCTCATAACATTACACCTCAATTTATATATCCAAACACTTTTAAACTCAATTTATACGTCCAGAACTGGATGTGTAGCACATGAGCAATTAAATGCACAAACAGAAAAACGGGAGCTCTAAAGGCTTGAAAGAGCAATGCAAACCCCAAGTACAACTGTGACGAGGGACCTGACCTGCTGCTGGCTTTCTTCAAGCGAGTTTTCCAGAGGGACACAGGGTTAATGCAATAAGTCCAGTACAGCCTCAAAGGACAGTGTCCTTCCTCTGGGCATCAGTGACCTCCTCTGAGAGACTGAAATAAACCTCTCCTTGCTAACAGAACACAAAATTGAGCAGAAACGTGCAAAGGAAGCCTTGTGTTCCCCTGCTGGCAGAGAGGAAGGGAGTGGAGACACGCTCAGGGACACAGCTGGGACATTCTGGGGCCCCACCAAACCAACCACTTGCTTTCCTTTTCAAGGCCATTTGCAGTGAGAGTAACTTAGAACCTCTCTGAATTATTCAGGCAGTCTAGACCTGCACACTGCTGGCAAACAGCTAGGGAGAGTTAGATTTATGCTTGCAAGCTTCCCATAGCTATCCGGTGGGGTGTCCAGCAGGATGGGAGCACCAGCACATTCAAACTGCTCCTCTTGTCATGAAACCCATGGGCAAGTTCAGAGAGGAAGCTGAATATTTCCCTGCATAGCAAGAGTTCTGTGCTGCACAAATTACAGCACCAGGAAGTTTTCTATTTCTAACTGGAAAAATTGAGTACTTGCCAACGCCAAAGGAAGGCAAGAAGTTGAAGATGGGGTTTGGATGTTTTTGTGCTTTCCTGCAGAGAGAAAAAGCAGCTTTTCAAATTCATTCCACCACCACTTGGAACCAACCCAAACAAATATAATGGGGTATGTATAAATTCACCTTTGAGTCAGCGTCTCGTGTTTCAGCGCTTCTAGTCACAGCATCTTGCAGAGCAGTACATCAGCCATATGCTTCCTGCACATCTTTTACCTTCTCAGTAAACCAGAAGATGGATGCTAAAATCCAGAATGCAACCTTAAACATTCTCTTGGGGCTTTTAGCAGGTTTTATTGGCACTGCTGGTAGAGCTGGTAGCAACCTCTGCTTCAGAATTCAAATAGCTAATGGAAAGAAGAAAAGAGGTTATGAAACAAGGAACTCTTGCAGTGGCTGAACAGGAGTTTTGTAAACTAATAGGGAAAAACAAACTATATGCAGATACAATAAAGGAGAATAAACTCTTTTTCACTATAATTGGTGTGAAGCATGAGAAAGAGGCATCAAAGCCTTAAAAAGATGCTTTTGTTGTAAGGCAAATGGGTGAGCTCGGGTAGGGGGTGGTTTATGGGTTATTTGAATCAGGATTTTTGCCACTGGGAAATAAATCTCAAGATCAGGTTTCCAATCAAACAGACTTACTTGATTAGTAGTTAGAAGGAAATGGAGACCAGACAGAAATCACTATGGATGTATCAGTGATGGTCTCTTTGTGAGCTTTTTAATCAATCTCATCCTTTGGTTCTTTCCTCAGATTAAAACCTTCAGGTGCAGGAGCATAACCGACAAGGTTTACTGAATGACACGTGGTGCATGACCAAACCCCCTCTGTGCCACTGCTATTTTACCTATGTGGACTACGATCCACACGTCAATAACATACAATAACTGCATTATTGCATGTCTCAGGGGGCTCTCAAACCAAGTGCTGATGTTCAGTCCTAACCCACTCTCACATCCCACTAATGTGATGATCCCTCACTTTTGTTGTAAGAACGTAGTTAAGTGATGAAGCAAAATGAAGAGAATGAGATCACAGAGTCTCTCTCAGTTAGGGTTTTGATGCAAACTGCAATGAGCATCCCCAGCTGCAGTAGCATGCTTATCATGCCACTGCTCCCACTGGCTTTCAACTGAATTTGAGTATCCACAGCCCTCCCAGACCTTCAGATTCACAGCTTAATGCCATAAACGTACTTTTCCAACTGTACTCTTACAAATCATCTGCTTTTTACTCACAGCTTGTCCTCTTCACTACCTGCATCTAAGCACCCTGGTATGAACCTGATAGTTTCTCTTAATGTTTTCTAGCTAGTGACTGCTTTATACCTGGCACTTTCAAGCCTTCCAGAGGTGAAGAAGGAAGAAGAATTTGCTGTATTTTCAAACAACCCCTCTGATGACAGCTGTAGATGTTAGTAACTAGATGAAAAGGTGTATCTGTTCTTGCTGAGGATTCTGAATGCAATTTGACTTCTTCCTTCCATTACGATAAGGAGAAAATGAATCCTGTAGCTCAACCGGTCCAGTTCTGAAATCACAGAATCATAGAACAATTTAGGTTGAAATGGGCCTTAAGATCATCCAGTTCCAACCCCCTGCCATGGGCAGGGACACCTCACACTAGAGCAGCTTGCTCCAAGCCCCTGTGTCCAACCTGGCCTTGAGCACTGCCAGGGATGGGGCAGCCACAGCTTCTCTGGGCACCCTGTGCCAGCGCCTCAGCACCTTTAGACAGATGCAGTAGTGAGAACATGCATCCTCTCAAGCTGCTCCAGAAGCATCACTGCTCCTCCTTCCCAGCATCAGCCACCTTAGCAGTGGCCAGGAGCTGCCTCCCCCTGTCAATTTTGCCATGACTGCTCCCAAACATAAACTTCCAATCCTCACCCTCAGCAGTGCCAGCAGCAGGGAAGCATTCATTTCATACCGAAACAAGAGAATGGGATTTACCAGCTTTGTGGGACTCCTCCTGGACATTGTAAGACACTAGAACGGCAGCACTGGGAACATCCAGAAGACTGCTCTGGAGAGAGCACTAACACAGAGCAGCAGATAACTTCTTTCATGTCTTTCCTTTGCATTCCTAGTGAGGTACAACACATCTGAAGCCTCAGACACTGAGCCTGCAAGGTACCATGGCAACTTCTCCCCTGCACCCTGGCCTGTGCTTACATAGCAGCCAACGCGCTCTTTTGAATCAGCAGCGATGCTTTACAGGATAATGATTTCTAAGTGGGACAAGTTCTCTTGTTTTTATTCACAGAAAGTCCCCTAAACCCCAGAAGAGATAACAGGATTTTGAGAGGAGGATGAGTAACCCGATGGGTTGTATTTGGTTAGTAAACAATGATCTCCTTGCTGAGAGAAGCATGTTTTCTCTGTTTCTCCCTCGGTTGACAGCAAACTGCCTGGAATTGTTATTGCAACACACAGAGCAGGGGGACAGGAAGCAGTGGAATTGATAGGAGGAACTGATTACATCGCTGGTGGCCACATGAACAAGCTGTGAAGGCAAAGAGCTACTCAGATGGCCAGAGTGACTGAAAACCAGCCTGCAGTCCTGCTAGTCCTCATTGCCCTGGCTTCCTGACATCATCTGTTTTGGTCTCAACCCTGACGTGTGCCATGCAGTAAGCAATAACTGCTTGAGCAGATGCCACACTGGCTACAAGGGGTTGCCTGGCAACTTCAATTCTGTTAGCAAAATTTCATTTCCTTTCTATTATGACTTTTATTCCAGAACATGCCAGGCCGAGAGGATTGAATTCCCGTTCGAACTTCCCTTTGGAGTGAACATAAAAGCAACCAGAAGAAAGAAAGGAAGGAGGGAGGTGTAATCCAGCCCCATATTTTGACCTAGCTTTAAGTTACAGTGAAGCAATAGAATGTCACAGTATGCTAATTATTTAATCAACCCACATCTCCTCGGCTGTTCATGTATTATTCTGACTATCAAGCGAGCACCATCTGCCCTCACAGAAATATGTTCCTCTAACATACAGAATCTTTAGCTGGCAAGGAACCAGCACCACGTTCACACTCCAAAGTCATGAACCCCAGAAAGCACGAGGAGCTGTGAGATGTCCAAAACATCCCTGCCTCTCCCTCGGCCTTCCTCTGGGGAAACAGATGATTTCCATTTCCTTTTCCAATACTGAAATAGGTTCATTAATGGCTCTGAATGCAAATAGGAAGCTTTGGAATCCAGCGTTCCTTGTAACGAAACGTTTCTGTCACCTGGGGGAGCGTGGGAAGCAGCAGCAGGGGGACTGAGGCAGCTCCGGTTCCTTATCCCCAAAAGGATTTGGAAAGGTTGTTTGGGAAGTATAGGTTATAGGGGGATGTTTACCTCAAACAGACAAAACGAAGCATAAACCCTCCTCACTCGCAGGAGAGACTGAAAAGTCCTTGATTTAGACCAGGCAGCACTTAGCAACAACTAAACCATCAGTGAATTCTCAGTGTTATTCTCAGACTAGAGCCAAAACCACAGCAGTGCACCAGCTACTGGGCAGAAAACTATCCCAGCCAAAGCCAGGCCAATGGACATCTGTGAAACTTCATCTTAAATTGCTCAAGTTGGGAGTGCAGCATCTTCACCATTTCCTAATCAAGCACTGCGGGTTAAGGAACCCCAACCAGCTCTCCAAACAGGTACAAGGACTGCATGTGCAATAGAAGTACCAAATGCAGATGCAGCCACGCTGTCTTCGGGTGCTATTTAGAAACAGCTTTTAGAAACTCAATATCTGTAAGGTAATATATGTGTTAGCAGGCTAGCAACTAGATGTTGAGTTGCTCCTTCATGCCCTCCTGTCTCACAGCCTGGCACGGAGCACCTCAGTCCACACTTCACCCGCCAGAACAGCCAACAGCTTAGAGCAATGTCCCCTGTACCACTGAAGAGCTGTCAACAGGGCATGGATTGATCCACTCACCAGAACCAGAGAATCCCAGACTGGTTTGGGTTAAAAAGGACCTTAAAGCTCCTCCAGTCCCAACCCCTGCCACGGGCAGGGACACCTTCCACTGGAGCAGTTTGCTCCAAGCCCCCGTGTCCAACCTGGCCTTGAGCACTGCCAGGGATGGGGCAGCCACAGCTTCTCTGGGCACCCTGTGCCAGTGCCTCAGCACCCTCACAGGGAAGAGCTTCTGCCTTAGATCTAACCTGAACTTGCCCTGTTTCAGTCTGAACCCATCACCCCTTGTCCTATGGCTGCAGTCCCTGATGAAGAGTCCCTCTCCAGCATCCTTGTAGCCCCCTTCAGACACTGGAAGCTGCTCTGAGGTCTCCACGCAGCTTCTCTTCTCCAGGCTGAACAGCCCCAATGTTCTCAGCCTGTCTCCATATGGGAGAATGAAAACACTGGGCCCCAGCGTCTCTGTTGTCCATATCCTGGATTCCTTGGAGCAGGACCAGGGATTTCCAGTGAGACTGGAATTTAGCCCAGTGTGCCACAATCCCATAAAACACAACTGTCTATTGGTTAAACAATGCCAAGCTCATCTCAGCCAGATGCCTGTTTACTGACTACTGAGAGGGGAAAAAAAAGGCTCTCAGATGCTATTGCTTGGGTTTGCAGGATGTAGGACATATTAATTACGAACAAATTAAATGAGCACAAAGCAGAGCTGAGCCATGGTACTTGGTTTGGCTGCAATTCTCAGCATATGAAGGGAAATGACAGCACAGGCCTTGATGAACATAAATTCTGCATTCAGAATAAATCATTCTGTTATGTCTATTCGCTTAAGGTACTTGTTCGCTTTCTTCTGCTATATGGGATAATGGGGCATAAAATGGGCTACATTATTGCCCATTTAGCACAAACACTTTCTACAGGAAAGGAAGAATCCTGGTTCACTTGGCCAACAAACAGCTGTTCTGCTAGAAGTGCCTGTTCTTTACTAGAGACAGGGAAGTCCAATGACATGAGGTGGTATTCCCTTGGGAAACACCGATGAGGCAACCCCACAGGTCAGTGGCTTGATGAGCACCTAAGAGTGGCCTTCCCTGGGACTCAACCTCACCTCCCTGGGCAACTGGTTCCTGTGCCTTCATACCCTCTCCATTCAAATATTCCTGCTGGTTTTGAACCTTCATTTCCTCATTGTGGACCCTGTCCCCCTAAAGAGCAGGTGTTCCTGCTCTCTGCAGCAAGGTTTCCCCTTTCAGTGCCCTCTCTTGTTCCCCAGGCTCCTCTGGACTGACTGTCCCACAGCTGCTCTGAATGCAGTGTCCCACATTAGATGGATACTCCAGGCCAGACAAGGTCTGATGGTTTGCAGTAGGTGGGATGGATTACTTCAAAAGTCCTGAGGATTACACTCCTAGGAAGGTAAAGAACTCTGAATTCTTTCTCCTTTTATCAGTATCATCACGCTGTGGACTCCTGTTTAATCCGGGCTCCACAATACCACCGTGATGTGGCTTTGCAGATCTTGTTTGTTAAGCAGCATATTTTACTGCTTTATAGTACGCATTTGATTATTCCAGGACCAAGAGCTTGATCTTCTTCTAGTCAAACTCCTTTGTTTTTTCTACCTGCTGGGCCATTTTTCCTATTTGTTGACAACATCTTTAATTCAAATCCTGCCCTTTAAAGACCCTGAAGCTGCTTCTCCTTTGCATATGTGAAAAGCAGAGGCCTTTGTCCAGCAGTTGCTAACAAACCCTCCTAAAGACCATTCGAAAACCCTCACCAGAGCCCGTTTCAAGGCAGACCATCTCTTAAACTCCTCAGCTTAAGAAGGCAGCATTGACAGATGAACAGATCAAGGGAAGAGCGGGGAACTCAAACCCTGAGCGCCTCCCTCTCCCAAGAGCATGTGAGAAGCGAGGTGTTCAGTGCAGCCGTTTCCCTGCTCCCAAGATGCTGACCAGAGGCCAGGACACAGAGCCTGAGACACAGGAGAACGTGAAAGGAAGAGACTGATTTAAAGATGGTGGAAATAGGGAGGAACCTCGCAGCCCCCCCTTTCTTGACCTTTCCTTAGTGACAGCAAGATGCTTCTCTCCCAGCAAAGCTGCTCTTGACAGGCGGATGTCAGCTGGAGGAGCAGATGGCTCCGTGGCTCATCCCGAGCTCTTCCTCAGCCAAGCAGCACAAATTGCATCAATTGCCTCGCAGCATGAGCAGGATCCACACTTGACAGGTCCACTGGGAGCGTGCCCATGTGCTGGGATGGGGGGGAGCACAAGGAGATGCCCAGGCCAAGCACTCTGCCGGCAGCAGAACATCCCCAAGAGCTGATGCAGATTCTGACTTTCACCTCGCCATTGAGGTGGTTTCCTCACTTCCTGAAGTATAACACAGGCAGTGCTCAAGGCCAGGTTGGACACAGGAGCTTGGAGCAAGCTGCCCTCGTGGAAGGTGTCCCTGCCTGTGGCAGGGGTTGGAGCTGGAGGAGCTGTAAGGTCCCTTCCAACCTAAACCAGGCTGGGACTCTATGATAACTTCTTAACGGATGAGACCTGGATTACTGCATGAGAACGGATGCAGTAAGATGCCCACTCACCATGGGAGGAGCAAGATACCATTACTGACCACCTCCTCCCTGTCCACACTGAGACTAGGAACACCATCAATGCACCAGAGGCACCTCTGCTGTCTACCCCTTCCTGTGGCAGGGGTAGCTTACACACCACCATATAAGAGAAAGCGGGTACCCCAGAGCTTCCCAGTTGCAGTAGCTGGGGAGGGAAACCACACAGAGAGACTGAATATATGCCTTCAATGAGCCCTTCTACCCAAGAACTCAAAAAGTTGATGGAGCTAACGACGTTGAAGCAAGTTACCCCAAATATGTCACTGTTCTGTTGCTATGAGCTGGCAGCCTTGTTCATGTTTCATTTATATATGTGCACAAGCATCTGAAGGATTCATGCAGAAGGTGAGTTGAGACAAAAACCTCTTCTTGGGGTCTGAGTGCTCTAAACTTTGCCTGATAAAGTGATCTATTGGATGCTCCATACCCTGTTGAAAAGTCCTGGCACCTCCTCACCCCTTGCAAATGGAAGGTGGGAGCATTCTGCTCACTGAAGACCAAAAATCAGCAAATTACCAGGTAAGGCCAGGAGTTTAAGGATACAGCTTTCCAGATACTGTGACCACCAATGCTGCTCTGATAACTACTGAATGGGTTTCCCATGTGTCAAGAACCTTTGTAAAATACAATACTGGGAAAACACTCAGTCTCCTACAGGCTGTTGAGATTCCTGATGCTCTTCCCTTCTCTGCCTTAGCAGACTGATCTCATCTCACTCCATCCTCCTGTCAGGCAGCAGTAGAGAGCGATAAGGTCCCCTCTGAGCCTTCCTTCATCACTCACCTCAGGTCTCACATGCTCCTAGAGAGAGGCCTTTCACTGGTTTCCTCTCTTAAGCAGAAGTCAGCAGCAGGGAGAAGATACCTGATTGTGTCTGGCAGAAAAAGCAGCATTTCAGGGCTCTGCTTGTGTGAAAGCTACTTCATGCCATTTGCCTCTCACACATCTGCTTCACTCATACTGTCTTACTCTGCTTTTGCCCCACCATGCTGACCCAGCCCCAGAAGAGCTGCACAGCCAGATGTGCTCCCAGTGCTTTCCCACCTCCTTTTCCAAAGGAGTGCTAATTACGTGATGAGGCTGATGCAGAGGGGGAAGTGCCCGCACCAACACGCAGGAATATTGGAGAGGGAAATGTAAGAGTTTGTGCTATAAAGACGGTCAGAGGAGATGGCACTGAAGTTACTTAGAGCCTTTGGCTCCGATGAGGTGCTATAATCCTTCCAGCCACACCAAACACTAACTTTAGAAGCCCCCAGTGAAGGAACTTCTCAAAGACCCTGTGGAAGTCCAAATAAATTGTATTAACTGGTTCCCATTTATCCATTTGATGATTATGCTCACAACTTAGTACAAAACTGATTCACCTTTTCCTGCTTTGATTAAAACAAGTATGCATTATTAAATCTAAATATTCATTCTTTACTATTAGTTAAATGCCAACGAGGGCTTTTCAAACCTGGCACCTAGAAGCATATACCATAGAGATTGCTGCTCCTTAGCTAGTAGTAACAAGGCACTGCCAATGGTTTTTTAGTTACGGCCCCTGCCACCAGACTCCCCTATTGTCAGAGCATAAAGGAAGGGCTGATCAGAGACCTTGCTAAACCTGGCGTCATTATGCTTCAACCACTCCACAGTTACCATCCTATTTTTGTCCTGTGCCTTGTTATTTCTCCATATCTCACCTTGATCTTGCTCATGTCCTTTACTGCATCTCTTGCACATAATGAAATGTTTATCTCTTGAGTACCACTCAATGCTGTGGCCATTCAGCATCTCAGCTAAGTGGTTCCCATGACCAGCTCGTGCCTGTGAGCTGTTTATGCATCCCAGAGCTGGTGGTCTCAGCCCAACTCACAGTACAGCCGGTACAACAAGCAATCCCCCAAGCACAGCTGAAGCTAATGCTTAATTAAAGTGTAACCAGCCCTGTGCTAATTAATTACCCTTTACTGTCAGGCTCAGCATGGAACATGAAATTTAAAGCCACAGGGACTGCACTATGTCTTGGATCTAGTGTGGGCAGAAGCATCCTGTTGACCAGGACAAGAGCTGGCTACAGTAATACACGCTGTAAACTCCATGCAGTGTTTTGCAGTCAGGCTTTGTCCTGGGCTGCTGCATGGCACAACTCAGCCAGTGTGGGTGCCTGTCTGTGTACCAGCAGCACCTTCACGTTCTCTATGGGATCAGTGGTCACCCAGCATCCCTCGGAGGATGTTCTCGCCCCTCTCCCTTTTGCACAGACTCTCTGTACACGCACACAGGCTTTTGTGGATGGGTTTCTGATGCCCCTACCCCTGCAAAGCAAACTGCCTCATCAGACACACCAAGGCCAAACCAACCCCAAACCCTGGGGTAACTCCATGGGCTGAGGCCAGGGGAGCACGACTAACATGGAGCTGAGAAACCCCACAGCCTGTGACAGCACAGCTGGAAGGGAACTGTTAACTCTGCTGTCCTTAACAGGAATGCTCCCATTTCTCCTTCACGTGATTCATCCCATGTCTCCCAATGACTGCTGCAAAACTAACAGCCTCCTTACCAGAGCAGCTCCCCAGTGCTGGAGCCAGACTGTCCCCAAGTCACCTTTCCCTCCCTCTTCCACTCTAATACAGCAGCAGGCTGGCTCCTGCCTTATGAACACATTGCCAGGGGGAAGAAAAGAGAAAAACTGCCTTTTTGTCGTCTTTGACAGGAGCAACAGAACATAACAACCCTATTATCCTGATTAGGTTTTCCTGGTGAAAAAAAGGAACTGTTACAACACGCTGTCATTAGCTGGAAGAACAATCTTCCTATAGAGACAAGTGTGTCTTTCTCTTGGTCATCTATTAGTAGGATTTCCTGAGAGGCAGGAGATGCTGAATAGAAAGAAATCTTGTTTAACATCTTAATCCCAGTTTATTTTGACCCTGGGGTTTGAACTCCCCAAAGCTGTTCGTGTTTCAGCACTATGGCACGTTAGCAGCTGGTGCCTGGAAAGCTGCTGGCCTGATGGCAGGCAGAGCTCTCACACTGGCATTTCAGCAACTAAAAGAATACAGGATTTGTTTTCAGTACCCTGAGATTCTGTTGAACCATCAACAAAAAAGGATTCTTAAGAGACCCCTTCATCATCACCCCCCTTGAAAGTATAGTACCTATGCCAACTTGAACAGGATTTCATTTGAGATCTCTTTCTTCAAGAGCAGTTCCTCATCATCAGTGCATTGCTGTGAAGAAGTTGGCTGGGCAGCATGCTGTCAGGTAAAGAAACAGATAAATGTTGTATTTGCTAACACAGGATCATAGAATCACAGCTGTGTTTGGGCTGGGTTGGAAGGGACCTTAAAGCTCATCCAGCTCCAACCCCTGCCATGGACAGGGACCCCTTCCACTGGAGCAGCTTGCTCCAAGCCCCTGTGTCCAACCTGGCCTTGAGCACTGCCAGGGATGGGGCAGCCACAGCTTCTCTGGGCACCCTGTGCCAGCGCCTCAGCACCCTCACAGGGAAGAGCTTCTGCCTAAGAGCTCAGCTCAGTCTCCCCTCGGGCAGGTTCAAGCCACTCCCCTTGGCCTGTCCCTACAGGCCCTTGTCCCAAGCCCCTATCCAGGTTTCCTGCAGCCCCTTTAGGCACTGGAGCTGCTCTAAGGTCTCCCCTTCAGAAGCCTTCTCTTCTCCAGGCTGCCCCAGCCCAGCTCTCTCAGCCTGGCTCCAGAGCAGAGCTGCTCCAGCCCTCACAGCATCCCCATGGCCTCCCCTGGACTTGCTCCAACAGCTCCACATCCCTTTTGATGCAGCCCAGCATATGATTGGCTTTCTGGGCTGCAAGTGCACAGCACCAGATCATCTCTCCTTATTCCATCCTCATGTCTATTCTAACATATTTTCTTATTCCATTTGTGTTAAAACTTGCACATCTTTTAAAACTGTTGAACATTAAAAAAAATAAAAGACAAGCCTCTCATTGTAGAGCTGACTAAGAGCATCCTCGAGGATGCAGTAGGGTCAGCCACCTTATCACCAGGAAAATCCTTTGGAAGACTGGCTTTTAAGTAACTCACATGGAGCCAGCAGTTGCACCAGCAAGCAAAACCTTGTCATCTGTGAAAGCACCAAGCCTGACCTCAGAGCTCATCACCTCCTGGTACCTGTTTCTTTGGAGCCACTCTTGGACAACCCACTTTGCAGAGCCCTGCACCAGGGAGTTGTTTAAAATGAGGTGAAAAGGGGGCAAACAAGCTTTAAACAAGCCCAAGCCCTCTTCCCTGCTCACCCCAATGCTGCTGTCAAGAGCAGCACCTGAGGAGCAGGAACATCACAGCACCGAGGTAGGGAGGAAGCACTGGGAACAGAAACTCCTTCATACTGATATGGAGAAGGCACCAAACCTGCCCAAGGCACTTGGCTACAGAGGGGCAGAAAAACCCTTGCATAGTTAAGGCTCTGGCACTAACCTCTTGCTTCTCCTCCACAGTGGCTGCACTGCATAGTATTACCTTGCTAAGGAGCTATCCCACTTTAGCTTCCTCAGAGGTCAGGTATTCACCTCTGCGCTAAGTCCATCTGGTGAAGAAAGACAATTCCTTAATCCTATTTTGTGTGCTCGTTTCCATATCCACAGTTCTCCCACGCCAAGCCTAGGCCATACATGAAAATTCCTTGTTTGCTGCTCCTGCTGTCTCTGCTGTCCAGCAGACAGATGTTCACGAGAGAACTTGGCCATGGGCTGGCTCTTCATTCTCATGTGCTACAGCAGAGGTACATAAAATGAATGTAAAGCATTACCTCAAAATGCAAAGCAGGAAACTGCAGGGACTCGCATGATTGCAGGACCTCAGGAACTCCCTGAGAGCACAGCCTCTGAGAAATACAGGAATCAAAATTAGGATAAATATCAGCTAAACTCATGTGTCTCATAGAATGCTTTGGATTGAAGCTCATCCAGTGCCAACCCCCTGCCACGGGCAGGGACACCTTCCACCAGAGCAGGCTGCTCCAAGCCTTATCCAGCCTCCTTTACTCAAGTGGTTTATTCCACTTTGGTAGATTTACTTAAGCCTCGCAGGCAAGAACTCCCTCAAAACATCACAGGATGAATGTTTCCCTTCTTGCATTCCCGGAGGAAAAGGGGCACCACACTCTTTTCCAGTCTTTGTGAGATAGGAGACCATAGGTACTTGCAACTGCCACACTGGTTCTTGTCCCCCACAATGCTGCTTTGGTGATCATAGTGGGGCCAGGCAGGCTCAGGTTTCTCTCCTGCCAAGTTCAACCCTGTTTCCCTTTGGAAAACACTTATCTCTGGTAAAACTGGGGCTCCTGTAAATAGGAGGCAGAGATATTTAGGTCACTCATAGAAAAATGCAAACCACAGCTCCAACCCAAGCACATTCATGGATTCTCACAACTCAAGTGTGAAGCAAGTTCAATTCCCATTCAACAATGTGCTTGTGGTGAAGAGGCTGCTCTTGCATCTCCCTTACACATGCTGCATTGAATACTTGGACACATTTCTTCCCCTAGATTTAAGGGGAAAGTTAGTTTTGATACAAGAAGATGAGTTTGCTACACCTGAAAATAAGAGTGATTCTTAAAGTAAAACTTACTTATCACAGCATCAGTCTTGGTTGACCAGGGAGTTTTTCCATATACAAGAACAGATCTGCATTGTCCTTGTTTCTATACAGAAGATACCCCCCGAAACCCTGCTGTCTGGAATGACATCCTCTGTTTGTTGTTAGAGGACTGAAACACAAAATGCTGTATGAACAATTTCATCAGAATATTTAATAAAAGGGAGTAAGAAGTTTAACACTTTCTTGAAAAGCACCACCAGCAAGTGCATGGAGAGTAGAATGCAGGTCCATTCAATGTCACTTATTCACTTTCTCCTGTAACAAAGAGGTGCACGTTCTTCTTGGACTGCAGCATTTGAGCTGCGCGCTCTATGCCAACCACTGCAGCCAATTTCTGAGCATCATACTTGGAGTAGAGCACAGTACAGGTCCATGTGGCATCCACTCCATTGACTGTGGCCTTCATCATATTGCAAATCTCACTGTAGAAGTGGGAGTATGTTGGTAACTCATAGAAAATGAGGTTCCTGATGCCTTTTATTGTATACCTGTAGTAGGAAAACAAAAACCAAAAGTAATTTTACTACTAATTTTTACAAAATGAGCATGCTGAACACCAGTCCTGCATCAGTTCTTCCATCAGCTTCAGTGCACAGCAGCTGTAGCTCAACTCCACAAACCCTGTGTAGACTAAACTTAACACAAAGGTGGAATTTAAGGGGTGGATATCTAATACTGCCAGTACAGCGACTTCCTCCAGAGTACAGACCACCACCAATTCCTGCAGATTTCAGCCTCTTTAGCTTGGATTTTAAGACACAGAAGCCTGATCAGACCAAGCTTTATGAAACATTTTCTGCTGATAGAAAAAGAAACATTCCATTAGGAACTTCTAACCTGTCCCAGTCACGATGCAGCAACTTTTCCAAGTGGCCTCAGCTTGCTGTACTGCATTATCAAACCAATGACATATCCTATACCAGAATCTTATGTAATTATTGTGGCACAGATGAACACAAACGAGAGGCACAATGAATCCCATTTTGCAGGCTATATGATCCTGGCCTGACATCAGTGGAACTTGGCAGCACGCACCTTCCTGAATAAAGCCCTGTGTATTAGACTCTCTGCAAAGGACTGCTGACAACACGAATAGACTTTAAACTGAAAGCTCTTAACTGCAGTCAAAGAAGTCCTCAGAGAATATTATATATGAATCCAAGAGATTCATAAAGCAGTATAGCCCATCTACGATTAAGGTCAGATCCTACATCCAAAACAGTGCACACAGAACTCGGGGGAAAGCTTGATCCCCAATTCACCTTTTGTAGAAGTGGAAGCGCTCAGTGAACAGTAAGAACTGCTTCTCTCCCTTGAGGAAGAAGCGCCTCGCCCTGCAGACACCAGCCTTTTTGGTGTATTCACAAATGTGAGTAAAGTTCAGCTCCTCTTTCTTGAAGTAGTTTCGAAGACGCACGTAGTCAAAATACGAGGGGACGTAGATGAGAGTGTGTGACATGATGGCATCGCGGTACTCGGGCAACACCTTGTCGATGAAGAAC